CCCCTCCTTCCTCCCACCGAAGCCCGTCGCTGCGCGCCCTCGCCGCTCCCCCTCCCTTCCCCCGCTGCCCTTGCCAGCCCCAGCTCGCGCGGGCGGCGGGCTTGCTTTTGTCGCCCCGCGCTGGCGTCGGCGGGAGGGCGGGCAAGGCGTCCCCGCCTGCCGCCCTCAGTAGCGCGGCGGGTGCTCCTCCCAGAGCCACGCTCTTGGCCACCATGGCGGGCAGGCGGTCCGCCGCCGCGCAGGCGAAGCGTTTCCACCACACCTCCCACGCCTGGAGGCGTTACTCCGCGGCGGCCACCGCGCCCCGAAGACCAACTGGATGAACGGGCAGAGAGGGCAGCAGGACAGCAGCAGGCGCAGCAGGGCAGCAGCAGGGCAGCAGGTCCTCAGCCTTCTGTCTCTGCCCGTTCCTCCAGTTGGTCTCCCGTGTCAGCTGGGCGAGCAGCTTCTTCTAATCGAAGAGAGCGGTGTCGGCCTGTTCCAGCTGGTCCCCCGGGCGCTGCGCCAGGTTGCGCGCGTGTGGGGGCAGCAGGGCAACAGCAGCGCGCAGCAGGGCGCAGCATGGCAGCAGCAGGGCGCAGTAGGGCAGCAGCAAGGCAACAACAAGGCAGCAGCAAGGCGCAGTAGGGCAGCAGCAAGGCAGCAGCAAGGCAGCAGCAAGGCAACAGCAAGGCAGCAGCTGGGCGCAGTAGGGCAGCAGCAAGGCAGCAGCAAGGCAGCAGCAAGGCAGCAGCAAGGCAACAGCCTCACAGCAGCAAGGCAGCAGCAGAGCAACAGCAGGGCGCAGCAGCAGCAGCTGTTGAGGGAAAGCGCAGCAGGGCAATGGAGTTTGATCTGCGCCCGTGCCCTTGGTGTTCAAGTACGTAGTGTGGAGGTCGTTCCGTTGCTTCGTCGCCCTGCTCTTCTGCCGTAAGGCCTCGGCGACAGCCTTGTCCACGGCCTTGTCAACCCTAGTCTGTGCACGACGTTCGGCTTCCTTCGCTTTTAGCGTTTTCATGTGTTGCTTGTGTCTGAAATCGGCCGCGAGCTTGCGGTCGTACTCGGGCGCGCCCTTGATAGGATTACCTATGGCCGCCTGGCGCATAACAAAAAATACATTAACAATGAGCCAATGAAGATGGCATGGATGATAACTGAAATCGTTCATCGAACCTAGCTCCCCCTCTTTTTTCTCCCCATCACCCTGTCTATCCTCTGCAGTCCTCCTCCTACTCCCCCTCATGAGCATCATCGTCATCATCCTCATCATCACTCTCATAATCCCCCTCCTCCTCATAATCATTCCCCTCCCTAGGGTAGAGAGGGGCTGGGATCCAACGTGGGAGAATACTAAAATGCCTGCCGCCCCCAGCCCGAGATTGCACTGCCCCGCCGCCGCCATCAGCCCGAGCCAGCGATCCCTAAGAGGCCCCCGAGAGGCCTCAAACATGCCTCCTCCGCCATATCCATAGTACCCTCCTCCCCTCCTCCTCCTCCTTCCTCCTCCCCTCCTCCTCCTCCTCCTCCTCCTCCTCATTTTTCCTCCCCCTCCTCCTCCCAATCAGAACCCCATGTCGGGGCAGAGTCACGCAATACCCTTGGAAAAAACAACACCGAACAGTAACACCAATCCTGGGGAGACCTTCCTCCCCTCCCCCCGCCCCCGAGACTCTCCCCAATATTGGTTACATTATTTTGTTTTTTCCAGAAAGGTCGTGCTTGATTCTATTCCGTAAGGGGGTGCTGATTGGGAGGAGGAGGAGGAGGAAGAAGAGGAAGAGGAGGAGGAGGAGGAGGAAGAAGAGGGGGAACCGCTTTGAAATGGCACAGAAGCGTCCCCCAAACAAACGAACCACAACCCCCCAAACTCACACGTGCACCGTGGTGCGGAGCCCCCGCGACCTCCAGACAGAGTTTCGCGGGGGGGCGATTCGGCCCTGGAGCCCGCGTGAGGCCCGTCCGAGGGGGCGCACCATGCGCTGGACCAGTGGGGCGCATCTTCGCAGGGGCTAGATAGGATAGCTCACGAGGCCAACGTGGAGACAAGACGGAGAGATGCGATGGCCAGGGGAGGATGCAGAGACAGGGGGGCGAAGGAATAGAGAGGGACGGAGTGTGAGCACTAAGTGTGTATGTGGATATGGGGCGCACCATTCTCGGGCCGACACACAGAGGGTGCAGCTGGCAAGGTCCTGGAACGCACCATCGTCTGAAGCTGGGGGGTCATAGGTACCCCTCGAGTTGGCACGCGCTGGATGCACCTCGGGCGGTCTTGGGGCGAACTGGGCTGGGGACGCAGCACTCAAGCGGGCACGCATGGAACACCGCTTCGACGACCAGTGCCAGATCTCAAGACGGAAATGTGTGACTCCACGGGGAAAGCCATATACACATTTATATATCTATATATGCACATACATATATATATATGTATATATATATGTATGTGAATATATATATATGTGTATATATATATGTATGTATACACAAGGGTGTATATTAGGAGAGAGAGAGAGAGAGAGAGCGAGAGAGAGAGAGAGAAAGATAAGAGAGAGAGAGAGGGAGAGAGAAAGAGAGAGAGAGAGACAAAACAAGAGAAACGCTGTTTGGGGGAAGAAGTGTCTGGGGCCTGGAGGCGGCCAGGAAGGGGGGACAGAAGCAAACCCGCCCAAAAAATCGGTTCCTGGGCGCCACTCCCGTCGTCGAACGGGATCAAAGTTTTTTCGAGCCCCGCCCTGGCGACGAGGGCCCCCCCCATTTCGGCTGGCCGGCACTGGTGCTGGGCTACCTCGGACCCCCAGCGGGCTCAAATCTGCAGGAGAGAGCCCCGACTCGCATCGACGAGTCGGCTCGGCGACCGAAATTCATCGGAACGGCGGAAAAATCGGAAAACAGGTCGGGAGAAGTCGAAGCGGCGGACATCGGCAGGCTAGTCAGGCCCCTCAACTAAGAATCCGAACTCCGCATCGGAATCCGAGGTCGAATCGAATCGGAATCGATCGAAATCGAATCGAATTGGGTCGGGGGTCGGGGGAATCGAGATGAGCCCCGACTCTGGGGCCGTGTCACGGGCGTGCCAATCAGGGGACGTGCCTGGTGAGGTCTGGCACGCACGGGCTGCACATGTGGGTGCACCGTCCTCCAGCGGGCATGCACGGGATGCACCTCTGGGGCGGTCCTGGGACGCACCGCTGCCTGGACCCTGGATGGCACGATCCTCCAGCGGGCGAAACGTGGCGGGTTCGAAACAATCCCTGACATTTCAAAATAATTTCGAGCACCCCGAAGAGTATCGAAACAATGCAATGCCTGCCCGACACGCTGGCGCAGTGCAGAACGAGTACCGCCTCCCAGGCCCGACACACAAAAGAACACCAAGTTTCGATACTCTCCTGGTGCTCGAAATTCTTTCTGGTGGTCAAAGCTGACACTGGCTGGAACATCACAGCCCCGAACCAAAAAACCTGGCCGTATCCTTGCCAGGCCGACATTTTACTTCCGCCGCCGTCCGCCGAGCTTCCGCCCAGCTTCCGCTGGCGGAGGCGCCCTCGTTTTGCTTCCGCCGCCCTTCCGCCAAGGAGAGAGAGAGAGAGAGAGAGAGAGAGAGAGACACGCCACTGCGGCCCGGGGGCCGGTCCAAAGGTGGACGGCGCGATGGCGCCTCGGCGCCGGCAGGTGGAAAACTCACTTCTCGTCGTTTCTTCCTTCCGCCAAGGAAGAAGCAACAACTCCTTCGATCCTCGAAGGCGAGGCTCCTTCTTGTATGCCTCATGCAGGGCCTGCGGATCAGAGCCAGACCGAATCTTAGGACGAACGCTGGTTTCGTGGTGGCTGAGATTGGGCTCTGGTCAGAATGACGACCGGACTTTGCAGACTGGCTGTTTTGGGGAGGCCAAGAAATACCGATACCGCTACTCCCTGGACCTCTCCCAGGGTGCGTTCGAAGCGAATCCAGCGGTGGCGACGACAGATGCGCGGAGCGCGCCAGGGACGGCGCCGGAGGCGCCGCTGTGAGGCCCAGGCGCAGATCCACGAGATCGGCGAGGGCCGCCGAAAGCTTATGCTTCTGCCGTTTGCCCGACCCCACGAAAGGTTTCTGTTTGAGCCGCCAGCTTGTCTTCCGCACGTCGCGCCTCGGAAGGGGCGCCTCGAGAGACGGCGCAGCCCAGGGCGCCTCGCCTCGGCGCGGACCGCCGGACGTTACTGTTTTCGGGGGCGTGGCGCGCGGTCGCCAAATCCTTGGATCGGGGGAGGTGCCCTCCCCGAAAAGGCGGCCGGCGCCGCCTCGCTCGGCGGCGGGAAATCCGCGAAGCTGCAGCCGACATTCTCAGACAAGCGCGCTGCTCTGCTCGCCATAGGAACTGCTCGCAAGTGGCCTGGATCCGCCGCGGGGAGTTCATGATCCACTGCATCGAGGGGCGACCTTGTTTTAGACAAGTAAGGCGAAGCCAAGACGAGAATCACATCGGGGGGATTGATCGAGAATCTCGGAGAGCCCGCGGCTCTGGAGGATGTCGTGGGCGCCGCGGCCTTCCCAAAGCGTTCCAGAGCGCTCTGGGAGCGTTGCGGAACGCTTTGGGACGGTGTTATGCTCGTCCTGGCCCCGTCAGAACAAGCGCGTTCCACTACCCGCAAAACTAAAATACTCGCAAATGGCCTGGATCCGTCGCGGGGGGTCTACGATCCACCACATCGAGGCAGGCATGTGCCGTTCGAGCGTCTGCGAGAAGGCACTTTGCAAGCCGTGGAGCGCGCTCGGTGACTTTGGGTCTCTGGTTGCCGAGTGTCCTCTTCCCTGCGCAGGCCGTGCAGTCAAGCTGCTGCCACAAGGACTGGCTTGGGAACGAGGCACGTTTGTGGCAACGAGAGGGCCTCGGTGCACGAGGAGGGCCAGAGGAACAGCCACGGACTGGCCCGAGGAACAGCGTGCCCTCTCTGAACCCAGAGCAGTCCCTGTTTCGGCATCTCGACTGTAGGAGGAGGGGCGGGAGGTCGAGACCGGGCATCTGGCGGGGGGCCGCCTCCACGTGCGTGGTGCCAGATGCTGCGTCCTCGTCGACCGCGTCGAGCAACTGCCTGGCAGCGGGGCCAACGCGTCGTCGTCGTGATCATCACCGTATTCTTCTCCATTCGTCGCCGTCGTCGGAGGAGGAAGATGAGGAGGGACGAGGAGAGGGAGGGGAAGGAGGAGGGGGATGAGGAGGGAGAGGAGGAAGGGGCAGGAGGAATGGGGTAGGAGGCTTCAGGATGTGCACGGATGCTGCAGCGGTTTTAAGGAGGTTTCAGACTGTACTGTTTTATGGCCCCTCCTCTCACTGCAGTGCGGAAGTGGGGCCCTCCTACCCCTCACTCCCTCTCGACAACTGTGTGGGGGTGAAATACAACGGTCGAGGGTCTGCACGCTGTGTTCTTCCAGGAGGTATTGTTGGCATCCAAAAACGTGTTGGCATCTTCTGTCGTCGTTGAGTATTTCAGGAGGCTCTGCAGAGGCTTGCGAAGGACAAGGAGAAGTCATTCTCCTCCCTCCTCCATCCTCACCCCCTCCCCCTTCCGCCCTGCACCTCCTCTTCCTCCTCCTCCTCCTCCTCCTCCTCCTCCTCATCCTGCTCCTGCTCCTCCTCCTCCTCCTCCTCCTCTTCCTCCTCCTCCTCCTCCTCCTCCTCCCTCTCTTCCTCTTCCTCTTCCTTCCCTCCTGAACCCCCCTGGGTACCCCTAAACCTCACACACAGCCGCTTCATCTCTCGGACCTTAGCACCCACACTACGGCACGGCAGGCTCCTATCGCGGAGATCGTCGACGTTGGCTCCTGACACCGCGTGGATCGTTGAACCTTTCACGATCACGACTTTTTGACTGCGCAAGTTGCTCGATGTCTGCCGAATCCTAACAACTGGCGCCGCTCAACCTTGAACACCCGCGGTGGGGTCGCCGCCGCGTCGACACAGGAACCTACCGAAACAACTTTCACGCACCCCCTCTCCTGGAGGCCGCCCAAAATGGGGTCCGAGTAAACCGGGTCGGGGGATATGTCGCCAACGTCGGCATGGAGAACATCGGACTCCACATCACGTCGCATCGCCGGTGCATGGTGCAGCGGCGATACGGAGCGATCTACCGACCCCATTTACGTTTCCTCGATATTGGCGGCCTGGATCTCCTCTCTTGTCTTCGTTGTCCTCCACCTCAGCCTCTTCATCGTTCTCGTCCCTCCTCTCGTCCTCCTCGTGCTCCTCGTCCTTCTCATCCTCCTCGCCGTCCTCCTCGCCCTCGTCTTCGTCCTCGTCTTCGTCTTATTCGCCCTCGTCCTCCACTCCCTCCCCCTGCTCCCCCCTCTCTTCCCCACCCCCTCATCCTCACTCTGGGTCGCCCGACTCCACGCCGGCGCGCGCCGCGAGAAGCGTGCGAGAGGCGCATCCATCGTCTCCGCCCTCTTTCAGGCTGCGCCCCCGGACCAGCGCGGGCACGGTCGGGAACTTTTGGGCCGCGTGTCGCGGCCGTGGCCTCAGCGACACGCCGTGATGCCCTGCGATCGGATCGCGTGACGCTCCGTTCCCGGGGCGGGAGGCTCGGAGAGGCTCGGGGCGTGGACGCTCGGGGGCCAGGAAAGGGATGGCGAGACGCACCGAGGCGTGTGACGGGCCAGAGCCGGCGGAGCGACACGCTGTCCAGAAGTTCCCAGCCGCATGCTATTGTCTCCACCGCAGGCCCCATCGAACATCTGGCGGCTTCAGCTGAGACGTCTGTTGCTCCTGTCGCACCCAAGGGCCACATGCCAGACTTAACTTAGAGCGCCGAGAACAGCATCGAAACAGTGTCTGCCCGCCAGCGAAGTGTGGAACGAGTATCGCCTCTCCCAGTGCCGACACGTAAAACAACCTTCCAGTTTGGGTACTTTCTTGGTGCTCGAACTTCTTATTGGTGGCCAAGGCTATCGAACGAGTATCGCCTCCCAGGGCCAGACACGTGACAATCCGCCAGTTTCGGTGCTATCTTGTTGCTTCAAATTCTGGCTGGTGGTCAAGGCTAAGATAGGTTGGAACATCATACAGTCGGAGCTCGACCACAAGAAACCTGTCACAAAAAACCCAACCCTGAGACCCCAGGACGTCAATTGATGTTTGGTGTGGGAACGTCACGCTCTCCGTAGCAAAACCGTCGAACCCAAAGAAACCCAGGGCACCCTGTAGGCAAGCAGGGTGTTTCTTGGCATGGGTTTCCGCTGCAGGTTGCAACCTCATAAGCTTAGACAGTGAACAGACCAAGCTATATCGGCTACACGTAGGAGAGACCCTGGGCAAGAGTGACCTTTGGTGCGCGGCTTTCGGGGGCCGCGACGGGGCCACATCCAAGCGTGTTGGCCGATGCTGGGGGGACCCCTGTGAGTCCGCACCAAAGGTCACTCCGGCGAAGGGTCACTCTTACGTGCAATCGACTATAGCCTGGAGCCTCGGCCAGATTGCACAGGTGCAGTCCCGCGGACGTCACGCGGCTGCGCGTGCTGGTCCTGCACTCGCACACGCGGGGCACACTGGGGGAGGGAGAGGAGCAAGAGGAAGCCAGGACGAGGGCAGAATCGGGTGAGGGTAAATCGGGAATCTCTGAGATCCAGCGGCTGCGGGGGATGTCTCGGGCGCCGCGGCCTTCTCCTTCTCAGAGCGTTCCGGGACGCTCTGAGAGCGTTCCGGAACGCCCTGGAACGGATCTGTCCTCGTCCGAGCCCCGTCCGAAGGAGGGACATAGAGAGAGGGAGGCCTGCCACTCGTGCGCGTAGCCCAAGCAAGCCCCGGCCCCCCTCTGGGCTGCCAAAGGACATACCGATGCCGCCACTCCTGGGACCTCTCCTGGGGTGCGTTCCGACCAGGATGTCGGGGCGAATCCAGACGTGGCGACGACGGAAGGGTAGCGGTATCGGTACCTGTTCCGCCTCTGCACCCCCGCACGCATTCGCATTGGGTCAGAGCATGGGCCGGCATCCATGCAGCTGCAGAGGACACGCTGGTCTAAGGCAAGGAGGGAGGCGTCTCGACGACCAGCGCAGCTGTAGCATTCCTCCTCCCCTCCTCCCGACGTCGTGATTCTTTCACAACGTGGACCCCCAGACCTCTCGACCCTTTCCCCAAGACCCGTTTCTCATTCCGACTCGTGTTCCGCGAGGCCTCGGGAGCCCAACGAGGGTCTCCGGGAGCCGAGAACGGCAGCACAACTCGTGCGCATTTCTTGTTCTACGGCGCGAGTGGTTTCTTGATGTTTCCTCTTCTTCGGGTGCGCCGAAGGCGGGAGCCAGCGGGGGGGGGGGGCATCATGCCCAGAGGAACGTACGCGGACGAGGGGTGGGGGGTGGGGCGCAGGGGGCGCGTTGAAAGAAGGTGAGGGTGGGCATGACATCTGGCAGATTCGGTGGCCCCGGCCGTGGTATCCGCCTCTCCCTGCCCCTGCCCTGGACGCCCGGGACTGCTCGTTTCTCCCCTCCTCCCTTTAAGGCCCCCTTAATTGGGTCCGAGTGGATGGAGTCGGAGGATCGTGCAAATTCATCGGCGATGCACTGGCGACGTCGGCGATGCATCGGCACCGTCAGCGTTCAGAAAACTGGGATCCACATCGGGCCGCATCGCCGATGCATCGGCGATGCGGCGCGATCCACCGACCCCATCCACTCGGACCCCATTCGGGCGGCCCCTGGATCTACTCCTTCGTCCTCCTCGCCCTCCACCTCGTCCTCTTCCTGGTCCCTCGTCCTCTTCCTCGCCCTCGTCGTCCTCGTCCTCGTCCTCGTCCTCGTCCTCCTCCTCCTCCTCCTCCTCCTCCTCCTCCTCCTCCTCCTCCTCCTCCTCCCCCTCCCCCTCCTCCTCCTCCTCCTCCTCCCCCTCCTCCTCCTCCCCCTCCTGGTCTTTCTCCTCCTCCTCCTCCTCCGCCTCCTCCTCCTGCCCCCTCTCCTCCTCCTCCTCCTCTCTCTCCACTCGGGTGGCCTGGAGCTCCGCGGCGCGCGCGCGGGCGCCGGGCAGGGCGGCGGCCGCGGCGCGGGGGCGGGCCTGGGAGGCCCGAGCGCAGCCGCTGCGCCGTCTGCGGACGGCGGGTCCTTCGGCGGGCCGGGCGGCGGGCGGCGGCGCAGGGCGGGCGGCGGGCGGCGGCGAGCCCTCGGCGGCGAGCGAGGGGGGGGGGAGCGAGGAGGAGAGAGGGCCTGCTCGGAAGGCGGCGGGACCTCTCAGAATTGAGCAGGGACCGACGGTCCCGGCATTCCTGTAGTCCTACCACGACATGTTCTTAGAACCCAAACATGTTCGAATCACAAAAACAACGTTCTTAGAACATGAACCCGATGTGCTAAACCAAGACAGTCCCAACCAAAAATGTTCTAAGAATATTTCGTGGAAACCACACAAGGTTCTTAGAACATTGCTTGGAAGGGCTATAGGCGAGCCAGGACGCTTCGCCACTGCTTGACAGAAGCCCCCGCCGCCTTCTGAGAAAGGTTCTGTGTCTTCGGGGAGGGGGAAGGAACTTCTCCGAAGGCTGGGGGGCCTCCGAGCCTTCTGTGGAGGCCCGCCCCTTTCCACTCCCCTCGCGGGCTCGCCGCCGACTGAGACCCTCGCGCCGTGGACAACTTTTGACAGGAGGTCTTGCTCCGTGTGCGCGCCGAAAAGCAACGGGTCGGACGCGAGATGGCCCAGCGACCCTATACGCGGTGGCTTACGCGGGCCGCCGGCGTGGCACACCGAGTGGAAAAGAGGGCGCTTGCGCGCGGCCTCACACGGGCAGCCGACGCGCGACTGTCGGGGCGTCGGCTCGGGTGGGGGGAGGACGGACTCTAAGACGACGGGCAGGAGAAGAGGGGGGAGAGGGGCGAGGGGAGGACGTCGGAGGGGACGAGGAGAAGAGGGGCGAGGGGGGAGGGGGCGAGGGGAGAAAACGAGCAACGGAGCAGGGCAGCCGACGCGCGATCGTCGGCGCGATCGGGCCCGCTTCCCCCTGCGCCGCTCAATGCGGCGCCGGCAGCCGGCGGCGGCAGGGCGATGGCACATCCGCGGTCGCAGCAGCCACCGCCGGGCTGCGGAGGCGCGAAGGGCTATACGCGGCACAGGGGGCGGGCCTCCTCCGACCCCGACCTCCTCGCGAGGGGCGAAGGGCTGCGCTGCACAGGGGTAGGAAGGCACCAACTATACACCAACACCGATCCTGGCCAGGATCACCCTGGGCCCAGGATCGGTGTATACGCCCTCCTGCCTTGCGCAAGAAGGCATATACACCGATCCTGGGCCCAGAGTGATCCTGGGCCAGGATCGGTGTTGGTGTATAGTTGGTGCCCTCCGAAGGGGGCGGGCCTCCTCCGACCCCGACCCCCTCGTGCCGGAGAAGGTGCTCCCGGCGGGCACGTTTCATCGTGGCTGCTGCAGTGCTCTGCCTCCGGGGGGGCCTCGCCGGCGTCAGCAGGCAGCGGCTCGGTGTGAGGAGCCGGTCCCCGGGGGGGGGGGCCCAGGCTTCCGGGGAGACACTCGGTGGAAGAATCGCGAAGTCGGGTATGTGGGAAGGCAGAGGGGCGACGATGATGCAAGGAGGGAGGCATGAAGAGGGCGAGCACGACGGCGACGAGGGCAGAGGGACGACGATGACGGGAGGGAGAAGGAGGAAGAGGGCGGGCAGGAGGACGATGCGGACGAGGATAAGGGGAACGAGGACAAGGGCAGGAGGGCGACATGGATGGGAGGAAGGGGAGGAGAAGGAGGAGAAGGACGAGGAGGAGGAGGATGAGGAGCAGAAGCAGGAGCAGGGGTAGGGGCAGGATGAGGAAAGGAGGAGGAGGAGAAGGAGGAGGAGAACCACGGGGGGAGGAGCAGGATGAGGACAACGAGGGTAGGATGAGGACGGCGACAAAAACAAGGAAGAGGGTGGACGATGATGATGCTGATGATGCTGCTGCTGATGATGGTGATGATGGTGATGATGCTGCTGCTGATAATGATGACGATGCTGATAACTACATGTTATGTCTAGATAGATGTGCACATTTCGTCAGCTATGTGTATTTCTACACATGTATATATATATATAGATACATACTGCGCGAGCTGCATTGACCACGGATGCACCAAAGACGTCAAGCAACAGCCCTGCCCTGCTCAGGACCCACCCCTCCAATTGTCAAAGAGCTTTCAAGAGGCCCAAACAAGTCCCCCGGAACCGTCCAAGATGCCTTTTGCGGAGAACAGGAGAACACAGGAGGAAAGACCAGAGAGAGCGAGAGGGGGGAAGAAGCGGATACATGTATATTTGTAGATACAATAAGAAAAAAGAAAGAGAGAAAGAGAGAGAGAGGCAGAGAGAGAGAGAGGCAGAGAGAGAGAGAGATAGAGGGAGAGAAAGAGATGGAGAGATAAGGAGAGACAGGGAAAGAGAGAGAGAGAGAGAGCGTGGTATGATAACATAGAAAGGCAGTGATATAGACAGAGACGGAGAGGAGACAAAAAGAGAGAGAGAGAGAGATGTTACATATACATAGAGAAATAGATAGAGAGAGAGAGAAGGATACCATGACAGAGAAATGAAGTGAGGGGGAGACAGAGAGACAGAGAGGAGAGATAGAGCGAGAGAGGATAGACAAAAGACAGGGAGAGAGAGAGAGAGAGAGACCAAAAAAATAACGAGAGAGAAGTGAGGGAGTGAACCGACAAAAACAAGAAGAACGACCCACGGGAGTCAAGATCCTCGTCTCCCTGAGCCTCCTCCGAGGCGGCGCTGTCCGCCGAGGCGCTGCTGTCGGCCTGCGGGGCCGGGCAGCTCCTTCGGCCTCCCCGTCGCCCCCGTGTCGCTCGCGGCCGACCTCGTCCGCCGCCGTCTGCCGCCGTAGCCTCGCGACCACTGCCTTTTGTCGGCGGCGATCGGGTCGGGCGAAAGGGGGGGATAGCAAAGGGGGGGTTTGAGAATCAGCTCACGTAGCTGATTTTCCCGGCGCCTCCCGGCGCCGGGAGGCGGCTATGTATCGAGGAATGGGCCCCTCGGCGGGGCCGAAACCAGCTGCATGCAGCAAATTTCGTAACCCCCCCTTTCCCAATCCCCCCCTTTCGCCCGGCCCGACTTTTGTCGGCGGCGAGCAGGGGGGGGGGAAGTGAGAAGGAGAAGGAGTCCCCTGGCCTTCTGAGCAGTTTTCCAGTCTCCCCCGAAGACAAGACGACTTCTCAGAAGGCGCGAGGGCTTCAGAGGAGTCCCGCCGCCTTCCGAGAAGGAACTTCCCTTCTCACTTCCCCCCTCGCTCGCCGCCGATTTTGGAGTCGGCTTGGAGGACCCCAGGAGGCCAGGGGGACGTCGACGCGGGGTAGGCACTGCATACCCCGAGGCCAACGTGGGGCACAATCAACGCGCAGAGTAAGGATGCAAGAGCCTTGGAAGGCCATGTTGACACCTTCGAGCGGGGCACGGCCAGCGAAGGTGGGCAAGAACCCTTGTAGTTCACGGGGGGACGCCGACGTGGAGTGGCCACTGCTTACCCCACGTTGAATACCTTGGTTTCTGCGTTTGACACCTGTCTCGCTTCTCGGGTCGGGCGAAAGGCGGGGGATATCGGGGCATCCGCGAGAAAACGCCCCGTAGCCGCGGGGGGTCGCTGCCCAGGGGCCCGGCTCGAGAGGCCGCAGATGGGACGATGCTTTTCGCCCACGACCCCTAGAGGTCAGGGGGGCGTCAAGGTGTGGTGGGCAGGCCTGAGCTGACTCCGCGGAGGAGGCGGGGGGAGGAGGAGGAGGAGGAGGAGGAGGAGGAGGAGGAGGAGGAGGAGGAGGAGGAGGAGGAGGAGGAGGAGGAGGAGGAAAAGGCCCGTAGCCATTTGGCTCAAGCCATTTGGCTCAAGCCGTTGCCTGGGGCCTTCGCCTTCCCTGGGGTTGGGGCTCGAGCTGGTCAGAGACCCGCACGACCCTCGATCAGTGGCCCTGCCCAGGGTGAGGGTCCTACTGTTCAGTCTACCGGCCACGCCTCGTGGCTCAAGATTCCTGTTCGTGTTTTCTCATGGCTTGGGGAGAGCATGCGGCAGGTGGGCACCAGAAGAGTGTGTCTTGGGCCGACGAGCGTGGCAGCAACAAGCGTGGAGGCTCGAAGGGGCCCCATCGGAGGTGGCAGTGTCAGACGTGCGGCTGCAGGAAAAACGGTTGGAGCTCCTGGCACTGTGTTCACTGTCGCGCTGCCTGGAACGAGCCCGTCGCTGAGGAGGAGGGCAAGCTCGCGACGGACGGCACGCCCCGCTCGGTCGGCTTGCAGCTCCCGCCTGGCTTGGGCAACGGGGACGCACAGCTCTCTGTGGACGAGATCCAGCAGCTCATCAGCCTTGGCTCCAAGACGGGCGACCACGCTCTGGTCACCAAGTACCAGAAGTTGCTGGAGTACAAGCAGAAGGAGGCGGTCCTGCCGAAGGAGCCGCCGCTGCAGGTGCGTGCACACAGAGCGCACGCACAGGTCGTGCACCTCGAGAAGGTGCTCGAGGCAGCGATCGACAAGTTGGGGAGGCTACGCCAAGCGGGTGCAGACCAGGAGACGGAGGTCCAGCTGCTGCAGACGAAGCTCGGCGAAGCGGACGATGAGTATAAGTGCCTGCTCAAAGCCATGTACAGCCAGGCCCACAGCGACCAGCCCGCGGCGCCGAAGATCAAGTTGGAGCAGTTGCTGGCAGGCGACACGTCGTGCATCGACCTGGACGGCTGCGACGACTTCTTCGGCCTCGCCGACATATACGAGTTCACCGACACGGACAAGAAGGAGGCAGCTGCCAGGAAGGAGCAGCTGCGAAAAGGAGTGCAGGACATGGCGAAGCAGCTCTTCGGCGAGGCCAAGGAGACCGCAGAAAAGTTGCGGCAGGAGCACTCCGCGCACGTCAGCAGGCTGCAGAAGAAGCGGAAGGGCGCCGAGGGCAACTCTGAGGGTGGCGTGCAGCGCGGAGCGGAGCCGCCTGGCGGTGCTGCTCCTCCAGCTGCTGCTGCTGCTGGAGGCCCTGACGCCCGCGACAGCCCTGAGCGAGGCTCGGGCGGTGGCGGAGCCACGGCCAGCTCACCCAAGGTTGATGTGCGTGCTAGGGCCGCCGAGGCTCTTGGCAGCAAGGGAGGAGGAAGCGGTGCTGGAAGGGAAGCTGGAGGCGTCCCAGGCGCGTCTGGGGCGGCAGGAGGGGCCCGGGGGAAAACGTCTGGTGGGTAGCAGCCTGCCTTGCCCCACCTGCTGGTTGGGCAACGCTGCGGCGGGTCCGTCGCGGCCGCCTGGGATTTTCTTTCGGTCCCTGGTTTGGCCCCCGCCCCCGCCGACATCCCATCCCCCCGATCTGCCGTCCCCAGCTCTTCCTCCTCCCCCTAGTGCCAGGCCTCTTACAGGGCCACAAGTAGTTCGTAAGATTAGGTCTGCCCAGCCAGGGCAGAGTAAGAATAAATCGTCCAGGTCTAGCCAGGGAGAGTTTTTCTGTCTAGAAACCTGTAATACCACGGCTTGGTCCTCGGCGAAGCAGTTTCTCCAGGGGGAAGCATCGAGTCAGATCGTCATGCTTCAGGAACTAACTGTCGACCCGTCGGATCGAGTGGATTGTGAAGCTCAGTTGAAGAAGCTAGGCTGGCAGGCGTCGATTCACCCGTCGGAGGTCACCGAGGCTGGAGGCCTGTCAGGAGGCGTCACGGTTGCGTGCAGGGATTTCGTCGGGCTGGGCTTGCCGCCGATGGACGTCAAGCGCTTGCCGAGCCCGCATCGCCAGCAGCTGATGTGGGTCAACGCGTATGTGCCAGGGGGGCTCATCATTGGGTCCATCTACTTGCCCGACCAGGACCCATTGGGGCCCACTGGGAGCCAAATATTGAGTAGAATCGGCGAGCAGTTACATTATTGGGGCTTACCGTTTGTCCTCGGAGGTGACTGGAACGTTTCACCAGATAGATTCCTGGAGTTGGGGTGGGCTGGTCGTCTTGGGGGACAGATTGTGAAGCCAGCGTCTTACACGTGTAGGTCCACCGCCAAGGTCTGGAAAACGATCGATTATTTTGTGATGTCTGCAGGTCTGGCGGCTAGCGTCCATTCTTGTGCCATCAGTAGGAAGGCGTCGACGAAGCCGCACTGGCCCGCCGTGGTCAAGTTTCGCAGCGAGCCCTTGAGCGTGCTGGTCCAGTCGCTCCGCCAGCCGAGGGCTTTCCCGCAGGACAGTGTGATAGGACCCATGCCAGAACCACTCGATTATCGGGAGCTCCTGGACTCTGCTCGATCGGTTGGGGATCCTGAGTCGTTGGATGCGTGCTATCGGTTATTCGTCGAGTCGCTGGAACGTGAGCTTGGGACCTATCACGGAGTCTTGGAGCAGAAACAGTATTTTGGTAGAGCGGAGGAGCCTACCATTGTGAAAGTATCAGCTGTCAGGACGTCTGGAGGTCGGTATCCCGTCGGATGTCCTGAGAGTCGTGGGTGGCGTCGTGTTTCCAAGCTTTTCTCGGAGCTGGTTTACATCAAGAGACGGGGACTCAGGTGGGGTGAGGGCGAGTCTATGGGGCTTCTGAAGGCGGTCGAGTGGGGACCTAAGCAGTTGCGCAAAGACATGTCCTGGCAGCAGTGGGTCCCGTCTTTTGGAAGTATGTTTCACGCCTCCCTCGAGCAGTTGCAGGCCCGGGGCGTTGAGGCTGAAGGTTTCGCCAAAGTGTATGAACGCAAGTTTACCGCGGAGCGTGGCAAGCGCTGGCGAGAGTGGGTGCAGGAGGCTGTATATGCTGGCGCTGGCAAGGCGCACAAGTATTCGCAGTGCCCGATCGGCTGGGTACCCCCTGAGTCAAGCACGGTCAAGGCTGGAGGTTTCTCGGTCCCGCTGGGACCTCAAGAGACGGTCGATGGGCTTACCAAGTTCTGGTGTGACATCTGGGAGCCCCTCCCAGAGGCCTCGAAGTTCCCCGATCCCATCCAGTTCCTGACGCATCAGATCCAGTCCCAGGCTGACGAGCAGGGAGTCTCGGTCCAGGAGCTATGTTCGGAGGAGCGGTCCGTGGGAGACATCAGGGTTGCCATCAGGAAGTTTCCGAAAAGGACGGCGGCTGGAGTGGGTGCGCTTCGGCCTCGGGACCTGGACAAGGCCTCGGATGGCCTACTGGAGGTTTTGGGTGCGCTGTGGCCTAAGATGGAGCTCGTGGGCACCTACCCCACCATCCTCCTCATCACCATCCTTGCCATGTTGGGGAAGCCCGAAGGAGGTTTTCGCCCGATAGCTCTGCTGCCCACGCCCACGCGCGTGTTCTCCAAGCTGTCGCGGGGCGAGATAAAGCGTTGGGAGCGCGATAATAATCGTGCTTATCTTTACGGCGTGCACGGCAAGAGCTGCGAACGAGCGGTTTGGGAGCAGAGCTTGACGGTCGAGCAGCATGTCAGTGTAGGCGGCTGTTCAGGCTCGTGCCTCGTGGACCTCACAAAGGCCTACGAGAAGGTGTGCCATTATTTGCTGGCCGTCGCGGCCGTCAAGCATAAGTTTAGTTTGGTGAAGCTGCGCCTTTTGCTGTCGCTCTACCGTGCGAGAAGAATCATCAATGTGTGTGGTGTGGTTGGAAACCCCGTGCAGGCGTTCCAAGGGATCCTGGCAGGCTGCGGTTTTGCGACTACGCTGTTACGTGTTATGCTCATGGACCCCATGGACCTCACCAGGGAGCTTTACTTTAGTGTGCAGTTGTTCAATGTAGTAGACGACATCACGGCGCAGGCTTCGGGCAGTAGGAAGCACGTCGAGAGCGTCCTGCCCCGAGCTGTGTACTTTCTGCGCCTGCAGCTCGAGAAGCTGCTACTGGTGATCTCGAGGTCGAAGGGCCTCGTCCTTTGCAGTCACTCGGCGGCGAGGGTGACCATTGTGTCTAGGCTGACGAAGTGGAATTTTACTGGCGCTAGCTCTGGGCGGAACCTGGGCTGCGACCAGGCGATGCAGAAAGGAGCCAAGGGATCCAAGGTCCTCCAAAAACGGTTGCATAAAATCAGGCTTCGGAGGGGCAGACTCCGAGGGCTCAGCAGTGCCAAGAAGGGTTTGTCCAAGGTTGCTAGAACGGGAGGCCTTCCCTCGGCCACTTACGGTTGCCGTGTCAATGGTATGTCCACCTCCGCTCTTGGCCAGCTCCGGGCCAGTTTGGGGAGTGCGCTCTTTGGGACTCCAAAAGGGAGGTGCAGGACGTTGGAGTTTCTCCTCTCGGTGGAGCCCAAGGCGGATCCATCATATGACGCGCATGCGCTACCCATCCTTGCTTGGGGACAAGCCGCTCGCTTGCGCTGGGCAGAGCAGCGCGTCATGGAGGAGTGTTTCAATTCGTTTTATCGCCGACCTGCTCGTGGGTGGCAAGATGTCCGTGGACCCGCGGGCGCTGCAGTCCTCACGATCGAAAGGCTGGGTTGGCAGGTAAAAAGCTGGTGCAAGTTTGTGACTGTTCGGGGAGTTGAAGTAGATGTGAGCTTCTTGGGATACAGGTCGCTCAAGGTTGTTCTTCACCAGGCCGTTCGGGATATGCTGCTGAGAGGTTTGGGAGATGGTGTCAGAGTCCCAGGTCTTTCAGGAGGGCCTATGCTCGAGCCCGTCATCGAGGTCCTTCAGAAGCTTCGGGGAGAAGAAAGGTTCACGGCAGCCACGGGACTCGCCGGGATTGTTTCTGGAGGCTACCCAACCCAGCTGATTCTGTATGACGATCGTCGTGTTGTGGACCCCCTCTGCCAGCTTTGTGGAGAAAGGCTGGGCACGCCCAGTCATCGCTTCCGCTGCTGCCCAGCTCATGCCGCTGTTCGGCGTGACCTAGATGTGGGCGATCTTCTCGCCTTGGATTGCACGCCTGCTAACCAGTTGCTGGTCGCACGTGCGCTTGCCCCGAGTCCAGAGTGGCAGTGGCCAGCGCCGCACACCGTAGCTGGTCACAAGTGGGATGTGTTTCCTCCTGGGGGACACCTGGGGCCGAGAATTTGTCTGGATGGGTCTGGATTGGACCCCAAGTCACCTCAGTTCACGAGAGCTGGATGGGCGGTCGTATCCATGTCTTTGGACTCTTGGGGAGGATATGTTACTGGGTCTGCGTTCGGACCGCTGCCCCACGCAGTCCAGACCAGTGGCTGCGGGGAAGTGTATGCGCTGGTCATGGCTTTGAGGCTCGCGGGGCCTGAGGCCATGGAGATTGTCACAGACTGCAAGGCCGTCCTGGACACCTGGAAGATGGGGCCTACTCAGGATCTGGAAAAGGTTGCTTTCTCGGAGCTCTGGGAGGACATTTGCAGGCTCGCTGCTGAGATCGGGCCCGATAGGATTTCTGTGACTAAGATCAGGTCTCACCTCTCCCTGGCCCAGGCCCGTAGGCTGGCAGTAGAAGATTGGAAATGGCGGGGCAATAAGAGGGCTGATGAGCTGGCCCTTCGTGGTGCCGAGGCCCAACCCCACAACCCTTGGACGCGTGAACAGTTTGACGGTTTGGCGCCTCTGATTCGGCAGTCGGCTTGGCTGATTGCAGAGAAATTATGGATGATTTATCGGCCCGTGGTTTTCCCGACGTTTCCAAAATCCGCAGGCCCCGTCGGGCCAAGCCGTCTCTCCTGGAGCTGGTCCCAGACCCGAGAGGCCATGCGGTCGAGTGTATAGCGAAAGGTTCATATTTGTGTCTCCACTGCGGTGAGCGAGGGAAGACTCGCGCCGCGGTCTGTGTGTTTCCCTGCGGAGGGCCGCCGAAAATTGCGCGGACCTGCCACAAGAGCCATCGTCTGTGGCTGATGGGGGGGAGGGTTGCCTGGTGTGTGCGTTGCGCTGCGTTTGGAAGCGCTCGGGCCCGCCCGTACCTCCTCCAGGAATGCCACGGGGGTCCGCGCAATCGGCACGCAGAGGAATCTCTGCAGATGCTCAAGGGGGGGATCGACCCCAGTTCAAAGAAGTTCGTGGGGAGGTCGGTCCCCCTGGTCTGGGATGGGTTGTGCTGGGCGTCCAAGGCGGCGTGACCCCTCCCCGACCCATTTATCTTTCCTTTCCCAGCACTGTTTTCCGCAGCTTTATTGCAGGCTTGGCCAGCGGTAACAGACTGCTATGGAGCCAACAGGAGCCAACAGGAGGAGGAGGAAAAGGAGGACGAGGAGGAGGACGACGACGACGACGACGAGCCCCACCCCCCGGCCCCAGGCTTGGCCTCCAGGTCAGCGGGCTCGCCCGCCGCGCCGCCTGGGCAGTCCCTCTCCAGCGCCGCCGAGATGGGCCTGTGCGCGGCGGGCGGGGCGGCGTCCCATGCAGGAGCACCCATCCCTGCCTCGCCAGCCCTTGCCTCGCCTGTGGCTCCCCGGGCCTCCGCGCCGTCCCGTGTCTCTGCCTCCCCGGCCCCCGCCTCTCTCTCTGTCTCTCTTTCGGCCGCCTACGCTTCTGATTGTCTGTGCCATTCACACATGCTCTCTCGCTCTCTCTCTCTCTCTCTCTCTCGATATTCCTCCAGCTTGTTATTATTTCTTCTTATTCTTCTTATGTTTGTTTGTTCGTTTTTTCTTTCTTTCTTTCTTTCTTTCTTTCTCTCTCTCTCTCTCTCTAGATACCACTCTGTGTACTTATATATACACACACCATACACACCAATGTCATGTGCGTGCCCAGGCTCGTACAACAAGAATTTTGGGCCGCCGGTGGGGCTGCAACATCTTGCGGTTGGACGAGATACTCAGAAGAACCCCTAACTTCGGGCATGAGAGGGCCCAACAACGAAGGTTGGAGCATAGTTCACTACCGACGCTGGAAACCAACGAAAACAATTTTGGGGAACTACACTGGGAACCAAGGGAGAACATACGCATGTGTAGTAGATGTGCCACAGTAACGAACTCCGTTGCGTTGTGCTGCTGGTTCCCTACACGATGATGAAGAACTGAGCAAGAAGCCATGGAAAAGCCTACGGCTTTGTGACAATTATGTGCAACATCCTGGAGACCCATTCTTTTTTGAAGGTTTCATGTTGAACCGTTGGAGGCCCTTTTGTATCTGTTGATCATGACGCCTCGATCCGCTTCATGGGTGCCTCCTGTGCTCGGGCGTATGAGGATGTCCCGAACAGAACCGCCTGACCAACAAAAACGCGAAAGACAACATAATCGCCTCTGGGAGATCTACTCCCTCGGAAATGTGCATATGACCATTCCCTACCTTTCCCCCGTCCCTACCCTTCCGTCTCTTCCTTCCTCTCTCTCTCTCTATCTCTTTCTTTCTCTGTCTCTCTTTCTCTCTCTCGTTCCCTGCTCCTTCTCAGTGGTCTCTCTGACTCATATTTCCACAGCGCTCCCTCTCTTTCTGTCCTCTTTTTTTGTTCTCTCTCTCTCTCTCTCTCTCTGTATTGCATGTATATATACACATACATGTATCCCTTCTCCTACCTCTCACAATCAACATACAATTCCTTTTCATCTATGTGTACTGAACGGAACCCTGCGTACATCCCCCCCTAAACGGGACCACCCCGATCCCGAGTCCCTGGGGGCTTATGAGCGCTCCTTGACAGGCTCACCAGGAACTTCCAATTCTTTGAAGATCCCTCCTAACCCGTGCAAGCGGCCCACTGGCGGTGCCAAGAAGCCCCCAAGACGGCCCAAGACGTCCCAGGAGCGTCCCAAGAGGGACCGAAATGGCCGCAAGACGGTCCAAGAGGCCCCGAAGACGCCCTAAGAGGCCTTGAAAAGGAGCCCCCCAAAAGCAAACATCTGCCATGCCGATCGGAAAACGTACATGGTCTGCATACACGCTTTGTTAGTCGTAGCAGCGTCCAAGACCGCCCATGAGGTCCCCGACATCGCACCATTGCGGCCCAAGAGTCCCCCAAGAACACCCCAAACGGCCCGAGAGGGCCTCAAGACTGCCCAAGAGAGCCGCAAGATGGCCCAAAGAGGGCCCAAGAGGCCCTCAAAAGGCTCCCAAGAGAGGCCCAAGAGGGCCATGGCTGGCTTCCAAGGAGACCTGAGATGGCCCCAAGATGTCTTCCAGAAGGCCCTCGCCCCCAAAGACGGCCCCAGGACGGCCCAAGATGGCCCCAGGACGGTCCAAAAAGTCACCGGAAGGACCTTCAAGACGGCCTCGCGATGCCATATTCATCAATTGCCCAACAGGCCCCAAGACAGCCCCAAGACGGCCAGTAATAGGCCTTCAAGAGGGCCCCCCCCGACGGCCAAAAGAGGTCTCAAGACAGCCTAAGAGCTCTACGACTTCCGAAGACTTCCTCCCGGGGATGGTTTTTCATCCCGACAGCTCACGGCAAAGCATCCAATTTCGAGGTTCGACGATCAAATGTTTCCGAATGTTTGCCGTCCTCTCGGAGCCTCAAGACTTCTCGTCGCCGCATGGCAGGGTCCGCCTCCGGATGCGGGCACAACACAACCCAATAATACTCCGAGGAGCCGGGTGCATTTTAAGGCCACGGCAGACGGCGCTAAGAGCCACAGTGAACGAAGCTCGAAGGACCAAGGTGCAGGACGCGAAGCGCCAATGCAGTCTTGCACTTATATGCTGTTGCTACTATTCTTTTGACTAGAAACATGCGCGCGCTTCCCGCGCCCTTAGGTTCTAGCAAGTGCCAGCCGTTGACGAGTTCACGGCTGCACGCATGAACAAATTCACAGGTGCACGCATGCGCATAAACACGAATGGCCTCAACCTTCATGCAAGGCTTGCTCACCACAGTGAGTGCATGCCGTGATTCGCGTTGGCGTTCATCCCGAAGCAGATTGCGAGGCCTTGATTCACTTAGGGGGCCTCGGGTTTAGGGCCAGGTTGCGTGTTCAGTTTGAAGTGCTGGGAGCTTTGGACGTCTTGGGGCTGGAGGGGCCGTGGCGTGCTTCGCGCGCGCTTTGGTTCTGGCACGTTTCAACGTTGTCCCACAAACGTACATGCGCACAACCATACACCCATCCGCTTCTACACCAATCCAACCATACATTCATCCATACATCCCATCACCCGGAAT